CCTACCTCCCTATGATTTTTTTTTGTTTTTATTCATGCTAATGTACTGTTCTGTTATATGTAATTGTAATTATTATTTCTTTCTCTTTTAGCTTTTAAATATTCTAATTTAGTAAATAAGTTTTTAACACACTTCTACACTTGTTTTTTAGGATAAGAAATCTAAAGTTCATTCGAAGACTGAGCCCTCATATAGCAGATTCTCAACAAAATATTTCTCAACAGTTCTATCTTCTTTATCTCCTGATCAGCAGCGTACTATTGGTGACTATGGTTTTAATTCTATGCTGATGTTTGACAATGCTTATGTCCCAAACAAACAAATTTGCTTCTTGGATTGCAAATCATGTTGATGTGAAGTCTTCTCAAATTGTTTTGAAAGATAAAGTCATTGCAATTAATAAAGAATGTGTTCATTATATTTTGGGTCTGCCTATTGGTGGTATGGAGTTCCCAACTGATTGTGATGCTGGAAAGTCCTTTATTCTTTCAAAGTTTGGCAAGAGCGCTCTTCCATCTGTGAGATTCTTTGGTGATAAGTTCATCCGAAAGGAAACTCTCTCTGATGATGAAGTTATTACTTCATTTTTGATTGTTGCAATGGCTTGTTTTCTTTGTCCAAACTCTTCTTTGGTCCCTAGCACCAAGTATTTGACTGTGTTTGAGAATGTTGATGAGCTTCGGTCATATGATTGGTCAAAATTTGTGTACGAATGGATGATGACTTCCATCAAAAAGATCCAAAAGTTTAATACCTTGGGTGGATGCTGGTTTCTCTGGGCAGTAAGTTATTAAATTTTTTTTCCATTATCTTTGTTCCATATTATTATTGTTTTTTAATTAATTTTTCTTTGCTTTTTCATATTTTATTTTGCTAGGTGCTTTATCTGGATTATGTTGAGTTTGGTGACAAGAATATTCCTATTGGTTTTCCTAGAATTTCTCACTGGAAGAATAATATGATTACTTTGTATTCTGACCTTGACAAAGTTGATGAAGAAAACTTTGGCCTTAGGCCCATTAAGGATTTCAATGATACAACTTATTTCAAGGTACATGTTCAGTTCAATTAGTTTTATTTATTTTTACTTGTGTTTTTCTTTTCATAAATTAATTCTTATCATTCATTCATCTTTACAACCTAAAATTTTCCTTGTTTTAGGTTGTACCCCCTGAAAATAGAATTAATACATTCAGAGATAAATTGGAGTCTGCTATTGGTACTATGTTACCTGCTTTCATTAAGGAGAAAATTTGTTCAATGGTTGTTAGTCATTGTTCTGCCAATCACATTGTTGACAGTGAGTCTTGTGAAGATATTGCTATCAGCATTATGCTCTTGCTATGTGAACATGCTGGTTCTAGAGATGGTGGTGATCCTGATGAAAACTTAATTTTTGATAATATCAACCCTGGGTTTCAGCCTAACTATGCAATTGATGTTGAAAATGAAATCCCTTGTGATGCTCATAACAATGGAAGTAAGTTTTCTTCTATGTTCTTTTAATTTTATTATATTTTTTAATTTTTCTTCTATTTATATGTTCTTTGATGTTTTATTTTTTTTAGGTACCAATAAATCTGTTGCTAGTAAAGCTAATGAAACAAGTTTTCGCCATACACCTTCTCATGATAAGGAATTGGGGGTATGTGTCTGCTTCTTATGATTATAATTTATTTTTTTAGCTTAAGTTTTCTAACTTTATGTTCTTGTTTAGGTAAATGATGATTCTGTTATTGTCTCTAAATCTGTTGTTAGATTTTCCCTTTCACCAAACTTTGAAAAAGGTACTTGGTGATGCATTGTTAATTTTTTATTTTCTTAAGTTTGCGTTGCTGTTAATTTTTTATTTTTGCTCAGATCAAGGCTTACTAACCCCTGAAGTTGGATATGCTAATAACTCCAATTCACGATTTGGTTTGTGATTTTTCTTTGCTAGATTTTATCTTAAATTTTCTATTTCGAAAATTTGTAAATTCTGTTAGTTCTTATCATAGTTATTTTGCCAGCTTCAGGTCCTACTGTATCTGCTGTAGCTGCTGTTAGGAATGTTGCAAATAAAATTAAATCAAGATTATCTCAACTCAACAATGATGACAAAAGAGGACCATTGTTCCCTGATTTAATTGATTCTTGTGAAGATGAAGCTGTTGGTTATGCTAAGTCACTTTCATGTCAAAAGGAATATCTTAACCCTCGATATGTCACTTCCTCTTCATCACAGGTATTCCTTTTTTATTGGCTTGTGTCTTTTCTTTTTTAAAAAATTCTTGAATAGATGTTGTGATGTCATGTTTCTGTATGCTTTATTTTTTGATTTTCTCTTATTTTTTTATTTGTTGTAGCCTGGTATATCTTTTCACTGTCTTGACAATTCACCTATTCAAGTAATTGGTATAAATAATAATGAAGGAACAAGCAGAACTCATTGTATTCAGAATGTGAAGAAGAGGCGTTTTGATGATGTTACTGTATGTTCTTATTCTTGTTGACTATATTTATATATTGTCCTAAGTTACTTTTTTTTCTATAATTATTTTTTTTTGCTTTTTTTTTAGAATTCTCCTGATGTGGAATATCTTGGTCATTCTATATTTCCTGATTGCTGCAAGGTATTGTGTACCCAAACTAATAATTTGTATAATGCCAAGAACATGTTGAAAAGTAACAACCTGGATTTGAGTTCTACCGGTGGAAAATTACCTCCCCATGGCCCTAGAAGAGTTTTAGTTCCTTCTCGGAAATTTTCAGATCCTTATGTTCTTTCTGTTAGACGCCAATTTCCAGTGTCAGATCAAGAAAAGAGACATTACAATGCAATATGCAAGTTGTCCGAGAGCTCTAAATGGCATAGGTACAGTTTCCTTTACATATATTTTTATAGTTTTTGCATTATGCATGTTTCTTACTTTGCTTTTCTTTTTATATCTTTTTTTTGTAGTTATGATGCTGTAGACATTGATAATGTTAGAGCAAAATTCTCTTCTTTTGGGCAATCTCTCATGAAAGGTGGTATTGTATTGAGCTATGTTATCAATGTGTTTTGCCGTGTTTTGTTCAACAACAATCATCCTTCAAACTCCAAGAGACACTATTTCTTCTCTTCTATTGGTGTAAGTAGTTATTTTTCAAATTTGTGCTTTTTTCTGTTAATGTTGATATGTTACATATTTTTTGGTATGTTTATTTCACTTTTAATTTTTTTTCAGGAACTATTGTTAACTGATCTATCTTGTGCTGATTTGAGCAAGGTGAAAAGATCGTTTCTTGGAGCAGCTAGTGCTAGGAAGTTGCACCTTTCTGACATGGTATTTTTTTTGTTTTCATGCTCATGTAAATTTTCCAAAGTTATGTTGTTAATTCTGAATGATTTTTTGCAGCTATTTTTCCCCATCGAACACCTTGAACATTGGTTCCTTTTTGTTGTTGATATAAAGGACAGAATGTTGGTCCTCTTAGATTCTTTACATGAAAAAGGTGATCCCTATTTTGAAGACATTGAATGCTTACTGGTATGATATTTTAATTTTAAATGCGTTTTCATTCAGTTTTTTTCTTCTTGTTTTTTGTAGTTGATTGATTTTTTTTATTTTGTATTCAGATCAATAATTTACAGACATTCTGGGATTCTTATGATGGCTCTTCAATTGATTTTACTACTTTGAAGAAAGTTTACCCTTGTGTTCCAAAACAGAGATCTTGGTATATTTTTTTGTGTTTAATCTTTTCTGTTCAAATAATTGGAGCATTCAAAATACGTTATTTCAGGAATGTGCAGAGTCACGCTTGTATTACATTACTTATTTGTTGATGTCCAAATTCTCAATACTTCTTTACTTTAGCCAATGTTTTCTAATTTTCTAAATGTCATTAATTGTCCTCTCATTGGGGCATTGTAGAATGTTCTTGCTTCATTTGTTAACTAGTGAAATTACCATGTAATTCTGTGAGCTAGATATTTTTTTATTCTGTGTGTGCTATGCTCACACTTTTGCTGTGTATTTTATTTTGTGATATTACTGTGGTGAGTAGTTTGTGTTTACATTTTGTGATATTACTGTGCTGCATATATTTTTATATTTTTTGCGTATTGCATATATTCTTAGGATGTTAGTAATAACACTTGCCCAATTTTTAACATACTAATAATAATAATAATAATAATAATAATAATAATACAAGAAACAAGAAAAAATGCCATTGTGGTACAACTAAAATCAACAATATCATGAACAGTACTACCTAGGTTTTATTTCTTTCTTTTTTGTAATTTAAAGAGTTGTTTCAATTTTTTTTGTAGCTTTGATTCTGGAATTTTTGTTATGAAGTGTATGGAATTGTGGTCATCAAGGGTTGTTCTACCAAATGAATTTTCTTCAGATGATATTGACAATATTCGGATGCTGTATGCAAATCAGTTATTCTTCCATCCAACGAATAAAATGCTGCAGACTGAAGTTGAAGAAGTTGTGCTCAATTGGTTTAATCCTGTAAGTGTGTTTTTATTTTTTTTTCCTATTCTTGTTTTTTGATACATTTTTAGTTATGAAAAAAATGTTTTTCATTTTTTATTTGTATGCTCAATTTGTTGGTGAAGGCTGAAATTTTTCAGAAAGATAGTTGCTATGAAAATTGGTTTAATCTTGTAAGTGTCTTTTATTTTTTGCCATTCTTGTTTTTTGGATTCTTTCATAGTTTTGAAAATATTATTTTTGTTTGTTATTGTAGGATCAATTTGCTGGTGAAGGCTAAATTTGTGCAGAAGATTAGTCGCTATATAAAACTGTAGTGTGTGATAGCATAGTGGAATGTATAGGATCATAGTGAATGCATTTTTGCAGTGCCATTACATATTCCTGTAGTGAATACAGATGTTCACTTACATCAAATACTTTTAGTATGAATACACATATATAGTGTGTGTAGTGCAGTAATACAGTGAAAAACATTAAGATCTAATACTTTCAGTCTCAAAATTTGACATCCTTGTTTTCTGTCTTCTAATTTGATTTGTTCTTTTTTGTCCTTCCTTGATCTTTAGGTAGCTTGCTTCCTTTGTCATTTTCTTCATGTTTCTTCTTCCTAGCGGGCATTGCTTGCTTCTCTATTGTCCCTGCAATACAAAAATTTATATCCATTAGCTTGATTTTTTTTGCTTGCCCATGTTTGTAATATTTTACATATTATTCATTTCTTTTACTTCTTGTTGTAGTCTTCTGTATTTTCTTTGTACTTCTTGCAATTCGCATCAGCGGGCAATTTTCTATTGTGTGACTTGTTCTTCCACATCTTGTACAATGTTTTTTTGGCTGTTCTTTTATCTTCTCTACCATCCCTTTTGTTCTTGCTGATTTTTTCCCCTTTGTGTTAGCTATGTCAGGGTCTTGAATATCTTCTTGCTCATTTGTTGTTTCTTTTTCTGCTTTATCCTCACTTGTGTTTTCCACCGTGTTGCTTTCATCAATTGATGCTTGATTTTGAGCTGCATCTTCAATTATCAAGTCAAGGTTGCTATCCAGATTATCAATCTCTCCTAGCAGGTACTCATATGTTTCCTTACTTTTTGATGCCTTTGATGTCATGTTGCATATTCTTCTAGATAATACATTGAACCTTAGCACAGAACTGTTCTCATCATTTGTTGCAAGTTGCATGCTCACCGTTAATTTTCTCTCCTTTTTCCTCCATCTTTCAATTATGTACTTATCAGGAATCTTGCTCATTTTCAGATACAACATCACTTTCAAAACATGGCTGCATAGGATTCCATCTTTGGAGAACTTTGCACATATGCACACGAAGTTTTCTTGTGGTAAGTCTGTCATCACAACATATCTTCTTGGTCTGAATTCTTGTTGTTTCAGATTTGGCGCTGCATATACTTCATATGCTTTTGCTTGTTGTATAGCTGCCACTTCTAGATTTAGTGTTCCCTTCAATTCATCTTGAAACTTATCAAATATCCCATGGTTGTATAGGTCTGCTGCTTGTTCTTCTATCATGTCATTTGACCAAAAAGACTTTGGCTTCTTGTTTCTGGATTCATAATCTTTCCCATACTCAGTGTCGAAGATGATGTCATTGATTGTTTCATATTCCAGTAGAAAAGTCATGACACTATGTGTTGGGCCAACTCCCCTTTTAAACCTTGCATTTGTGCCCTCACTAAGTGCTGTGCTATGTATAAATGGGCAAAAATCTGTTTTGGAATACACCGGTATAAAATTCTTCCTTGTTCTCCACATTATTTCCAGATATTTGATATTTTCCAAGTTGTATTGTGCAATCATTTGCAACCATAGGCTTTCAAATTCAGCTCTTGTCAAGCTATTGTGCACAATGTCATTAAATTCTGCATAGAGATCTTTCCTTCTCTTGTCTGAAAATGTATTTCCTGACCTTTCTCTACATTTCTTCAAAATGTGGAACAAACAATTTCTATGTTTGCTGTTTGGAAATACTTGACGTATAGCTGCCCTCATTGCCAAGTCTTGATCTGTTATAATTGTTTCTGGATGTTTTCCTCCCATGGCTGTTAGGAACGTTTCAAAAACCCATTTGAAAGTTTCTGTAGTTTCATCTCCTAAAAATACACATGCAAAAATGCATATGTTTCCATGGCCTGTAACACTGACTGTGAATACTGTGTACTATTCGCAGTAATATTTGTTATTTTTTTCACTTGTTATATTGAATTTGAATTTTATGTTTGTGGAAAAACATATTTCATATTATTCTATCATATCTGTCATACAATTTTTTTTATAATTTTTAGGTGACATACATAAAAGGAGGGAACAGGGATGTTCCCTTGAGGGATAAATATTCACTTCTGGAATATCATTCCTTCCACGAAAAGAGCAGTTTTCGTGAAGCATTGCTCCCAGATGTCAAAAAGTTCATTTTCAGTGAAAGCAATTTCCTAGCCATAAAAAAACGTTGACAGTTAAAAAAAACCATTTTCTAGTACTGTTGGCTTTCTAGGTCTGGCTATGTTGTAAACAATGCAGCAGCTAGTGCTACCCTAAACAACCTTGTTATAGTCTCCGCCAGTAAAACCAGCAAATTAGCTGCTTGTGTCCAATACCTGTGTTTCAATTCTTTGGAATCTCTGGGATTCCCAATGCCTCCCAAACCAAAACCGAAGGTGTGGGATGACGGATACCGGTGTATAAATAGGACGACCATGACTGCAAAGAATTTTCAAATAACAGTACGACCAGTGAACGTTTGACATGCCAGAGATTCATTTTATATCTTGCACAATATTTATGGGTGCAAGTCCATAAGTCCAAATTAAGTTGGCTGAGGAAGCAGAAATTTATGAAAATATACAAAGGCATAGAATTATGTCTAACACGTGCTTCAGAGTTGTTGCCCGGAGGATAGGTTGATACATCTATTTTTGGGACAAGATTGATACGTACAAAGTAACAACCACTGTCTGAGATAGGGTTGTGTTACTACTGCAGAAAATAACATTAGAGTCGGTTCGTAACTGACATCAATGCCTGAAATGAACATATATATATAAGGCATGTTACTCATATTTTAAATTACTTTCATGTGATACTAATTTCATATTTATTGAAAACATAACATGGGATAAATTAATAGTCAAAGTATATCATTGAAGACCGTATAAAAAAATAGACATTTGGACGGATTTAGTATCATGTAAAAAGACCATCTACTCATAACTCACGATGTGGTAATTAAATCACCGTGAATAAAAGGCATATGCCCCTGGCCCTGCAAACGTAGCTACTACCCCCGTTCCATAATAATTGCATTTCTACCATTCAAATTTGTCTTTACCCCCGTTCCATAATAATTGCATTTCTACCATTCAAATTTGTCTCAAAAATATTGTATTTCTAATAATATGGGAAGCAACAAATGGAATATGTACCCAAACCTTTCTTTTAATTAAGTTTACATATGGAATGTGTATTCCTCAACCTTGCTTTTAATCAAGTATACATATGGAATATGCATGTAGTTATTAAATAGGGATATTGTTGTAAATTGTGTTTGTTGTTAATCTATCTCTAATTTTCTAGAAATGCAATTATTATGGGACGGAGGCAGTAGTGTTCATATAATTAATTGGCAGGTCCTAACATGAAATGCATCATTATTGGATAGAGCATTAGAGCCCCTCTGTGTCTTCAACCCAGATCTTCACTAAGGGCATCAGCAGTGTGTTCTTCGGCTTGTGCAGTCTAAAGATAAATAAAAAGTTGGTTTGATCCATGTAGTGTGTAAAAATTGATTTTATGGGACACACGGAGAAAAAATTCAACCTTTTTCGGCGTCCTCCCGTGTGCGCCAGGCCAAAGTACGCAAGCAAGTATTTTATTTAAGGGTTGTTTAGATTGATGTCATTTCAAACCATACCAATTTTTAAGTAAAATTATTGAATCTGTGCATCTAAACTCTGGCAAATATATAAGAATTCCTGCCAAAATTTGGTAATATTACCAAACTGCCAAGATTTTAGTATAGCCAAAATTTGGTAAGGTTTATTTAGGCTATAATCTGAACAAACCCTTAATCACATGTGGTCGAACTCTCTCTTTTTTCTTTTTTAGGACTGGTCGAATTCTCTTCGAAAGTCATTTTTTACCGAACACAATCTAATCGATTCTAACAATGTGCATTGTTCGGTTTCTTTCCTCTAAAATCGATGCTAGCCCCACACTGGAGATGCTCTACCAAACTAGACACGGGTAGTTCACAGCATAGAGCAGCTCTTGTAGACTGTACCCGGTACTTTTCTGATCGATTGTGTCACTATATCGACATGTTGTTGATCCCTCCTCTGAAGAGGTTAGCCAGTACACCTTTCCCAACTTTCAGAGGATAAAGGGATGCATTCTCAAGACCTCCCAGTCCAAGGCTAGATAGGGCATTTCTAGATAGGGCATTTCTAATTGTTTAGTTCACAGTATAAAACAGAGATATATGTAGGAGGATGCAAATCATGCATAGTACTCTCTGATATGGTTTCTCTCTTTGGTAACAAGATGCATGCATCGTCTGGTATGTATATACTGTCTAGTACTCTTTAATGTTAGAGATTTGCTCTGGTCCAACAAAAATATCTTGAGGTACCGGTAACTCACGGTACTAAATCGTTTCCGATCGTTGGATCTAACAATGCACATCCTGCCCAGCTAGATTCAACGATCGAAAATGATTTGGTACCGTGAGATACCGGTACCTCGAGATACTTTTTGCTGGGCCGGACAAAATCTCTTAATATTAACATCCCTTAGCAACTACTCCCTCCGTACCTAAGACTGGATGTAACACATTCTAATATAATGAATCTGGAGAGAGGTATGTTCATATCAGTTCGCTAATAGGATGTCAGACATCCAATACTAGTTAGTTTTTTATGCGACGTATAGAGTACCTACCATGTGATCGATCGATTTCAATTGCCTAGTTATTGCTTGCAACAAAGTCTGAATCGTTACACATATCATAAACTTGACCTAAAAATCTACTATGCACAAACAAGTACTCTTCTCCGTTCTGGGATGTACCAAAATGAATCTTTATTTGGTTGGAGTAGGATTGAATAATTGTTTTATATATGTTGTGATATTTTCTTCCCTTCTTTAGAGTTTAGAGTTGGTATTTCTATTTTTCCAGGTGGTATATACCCTAACGCTGGGGGTATATATCTCATATCGAATTAACGTTATAATAAGGTGTATATCGCCTGAATGACCCTCGTGGTCTCGCCTCCTCAGCCGGGACAGCGATGGGGACGGATCTAGGCAAGAGGTCTGCCCTGACCCCGCATATGCCATCCGCCGAGCCACTGTCACTGGCACGATAACACCTAGCGATATAAATGGGGAAGAGGAGAGAAAACGAGCGGGAGAGGAGAAAATGAGAGGGAGAGTGAGTGAAGGACACCATGGGAAAGGGGGAGTCCACCACTATGGAGAGCAAGAGTTGGGGGCGGCGGCGGACACGAAGATGGATGGATGGCCGCAAAGTGGGTGGCAGCGAGGAGAGAGCGAAATGTCTACCGGTGTGGGTGGATAAGGATGAATGTGTCTGTTGACTTGGTGTGGGGATAAATCAGAATCTCACCCGGCTAGCTCGCCTAGCTCAACTCAGATTTTATAGGTGTAATATGTTTATAGCTGTAGATTTTTTAATTAACCGATATTATAAATTTATAATATATTAAATGTGTCTTTTTTAAAAAATACTAATAGTATCGATGTTGGTTTTGTATAGAACCGGCACCTATGATTGTTCAAAGGTGACTGTATTATATTTTCTCACCTAGCGAAGGCGGGAAAAGATAAATAGCTGCCGGATTTAAATAAATCAATATATAAGCCGTTCCCTATTAAGAGTTCTGTGACGATATCTCATGTTAATATATATATCCCGTCAATTATTTCAAATTTTTATTATGAGTGACAAGGAAAGATGAAAATTGACCTAAGAGAGTAAAGTGCATAGGAGATCCTTAAACTTGTAGTGTTGTGTTATCTAGATCCCTAAACTCTCAAAATGCAGATTCAGGTTGTAGAACTTGTCTAAGTGTATCATTTAGGTCCCAAATCGACATAGCCCCTATAGTATCCTACATGGCGCTGATGCTGATGTGGCATACCACGTGGATGTGACGTGTCCTTTTATTTTTTTTCTTCTTTTCTTTTTCTTTTTTGTTTTCTTCTCATTCTTCTTTTTTTTCCTTTCTTCTGCTCGGGTCACGGAGAAAGGAGAATAATGAAAAAAAAGAGAAGAAGGAGAAGAAAAAGAGAAGAAAAAAAGAAAAGGAAAATTTTTAAATGTCCGTGTGGCATGCCACATCTGCACCACGTAGGATTTTGAAGGGGTTGTGGTGATTTGGGATCTAGATGATACACTTTGACAAGTTCTGAGATTTGAATATGCATTTTGAGAGTTTAAGGAATCTAAATAACACATCCCTACAAGTTTAAGGACCGCCCGTGCACTTTACTCTAGACATAGTTACAGAGTGCATGTGTAGTAATTAGTCTTAAGGTATCTCTTCTTGTTGCACTCCTCTGACTTTATTGAGGTATATCCGTATATGTGAAAGTTGCTTTTCAGT